CCTTCCCCTCCTCCAGCTTTGTGAAAAAGCCCAAAACAGGCTGAGACAGCATGGGCAGGAGAATACTTGAGCTGTTGCAAAAGGACCTCTCAACAGGGTGCTGCAAAGCTGGAAGCAAACCCACCTACCTCTATTTCTTAATTCCCAGCCAGTCGCAGGAGGGAATCTAAAGGATGTACCACAGAATGAGGGATGCTTGCTTACATGTATTTTTTTCAGATGAGTGAGGCCTCTGAGCCCCCGTGGTCCCACTTAAATTTCAATACCTTGCCCATGTCTCAATCCTTTTCACCATACCTTGCATTTTCTGGTCAGAGGGTCGGTCGCCTTTGTGCAGTCGTGGCAGCACAAGCATCTGCCAGTCCTTCAACATGTGCTTTAGGCCCGGCTTATGTATGTCCAACTGATTAATTAATCTCTGTGCAGCAACTGGAAAATGTAAAGTGCTACATAAAAGATAAGTATTACTATTGCTAAATCTGCACTCGACGAGTGTGACTTGACATAAAGTGGCAGGTTTTATCTTGCTCATTGCTACTATCTGAAAGAGGCCATTGAGAGCAAATTTCGTGAGCATAATTTATTCTCTAGACATAGTGGGATAAGTGGTGCACATGAGCAACTTACGCTGCATGCTCATTGGGAAGCTTTTTGCCTGCAGAAGGTTATTTTTTTCTCACACGTTGTCCTGCTACCTGTGACTCAGAGCTGCGCATGCAAAGCATGGCACGGAGGGACATCATATGGGCAGGCGATGCTCCCTGGGGAAATTTGGACTAATAAACCTGTCGTGACATATGGTTTCAGAGCTCTTGGCAGCATGCGGAGGATGGGTTGCTGAAGTAATGCAGCAGATTGTAATGTGTGACGGGGGAGCAGTGACATTCGGGGTGCACAGGGCAGAGATGTTGGAGAGGATGGAAGGAGACCCGTGGTGCTGGAGGTAGAGGTGCCCCCCACCTCCCTCCTGGCTGCCCCCTTCCCACCTCTCATCCAGCCAGTGGTGAAGCCACCTGTGGCTCACACATCACCAGGTTGGGTTTTTTTTGGGTGTAGACGTACCCGAGATGGGATAGGGAGAGCTGCTGCCTCTTCCCATGCCTGCACACCTCCCTCAGTCTGGTCTCATACAGACATCGCATAGACTCCCCAGCTCCCTGTGTAGTCATTGTGGATGAGTGGGGAAAAGGTATTTGCCTTCAGAGGACAATTTGGAAAAAATAAGTACCAAATTTTATGCATTTTTCCGTAGAGCAATCCACCACTCCAGCACGCTGAAGGTAGCTTGGAAGCAACATGCCTCATAACTACATAAATTAACTAGTATTTACATCTTGTGTGTTTGTTGAGAACCTTGTGCTACAGGGAGTTAATCCTGACTATTCCCTCTGGGCCTGATGGTAATATAAATATTTAATAATAATGATAATAATAGTAAAGAGCTTTGAAAATGAAGAACTCCATAAGTGGTTCACACTGGTATTTTTATTAATAGGAGCATGGAATATTTGTGACTTAATAGCTGCTAAACACTTTCAATTGATCTGAGACTACAAAGCCAACATGAGCACATATTCAATAAATTGTACCCGTGCTGTTGCAGCATGAAAGTGGGTCAAGATCCTGTACTTGGATAAATACCTATCTCTCCGCGTTAAGTAGGTCAGCCCTTGTCCAACCGCTCAGCATGGCTCGGACCTGAACTAGTACAAAACTGTTTTCACATGTACTTAATTTGTCAGCATTTAAATAAGTGAAGCACAAGGTCAACAGGAACATGACCTTATTCATTTTAATGGGGAAAAGCAGGAAGGCCGAGGGTTACTTCTGCTAACGTTAAATCCCTGCCGTGAGTAGCAGATACCCAGCTATGCCCAAGGAGAGATGAATCAGTGATGCCGCATGACCCGAACTCTTCCCCTTCCTGCCTTTCTACCAAAGTCTAGCATCTCTGCATCTCACTTAATTTCTTTGAGTTTGGCCTTCTTTAAAGAAAAAAAAACATGAACTTTTTCCTCCTCTATGTTACTGTTGATGGCTTCTCTTTTCTTTTTTTTCAGTCTTTCACATTTCTTGGCATCTCTTTGCAAAAGAATGAAGGATCCAGTGGCGGTGCTTGTACACAGAGAAACTGCTCATGTAAGCACAAATCTCTGGCTTCTGCCCTTTTCCTGGTTTTCCAGTCCCTGTAGCCATAGCCTAACAGCATGCACGTGTTTGGCTGCGGCAATGTATGCTGGAGGGTGTAAATCCACCTGGTTAATGACTTAAACACCACTTTCTTAGTCAGGTGAAGCAAGGTTCTGCTTAGGATCAAGCTCCCTCCCCTAACAGATGTGGTATTTTGTTTCAGCCTTCAAAGATTTCCCTGGTGTTCTTTCTGGTCATCCCTGTTCCTCATCTTCCTGGGTTTCCCAAAACTGTATAAGAAGTACTTTACTTTTAACGGGTTTTAAGTTAATAAATGATAAATCCAGCCATTGTGGGGTAATGTGTCATAGCCTAAGGAAAAGAGAAAGGTCAAGAGCAAACCTCAGACACAAAATATGTGGTTTCCTTGAAAAGCCTCAAATGTAATGGGGAAAATTTTTCTTCTTGTGCCAAGCAGGGTTTCTGGACAAGCTCCTGAGAATCACTTTCTTCTGGATCTGTTGCAAAGTCCCCAAATCTGCATTTAAAAATTTTAACCGGTCTCTGAATCCACAGGAGAAACAAAAGTAAAGGAACCATAAAGATGAGGGGAAAGAAAAATGCCTCTCTCTTTTTATTCTTATTCAAAGCTATGAAGGGATAGTTAGGCAGTGTTGTGTAAAGGCAAGAAGAGGGGGAAGAGAGCATCAAATAGAGGCAAATGCAGGGGAGGAGCAAGGAAGAAGGGAATCTTTGCTTTGAGCATCAGACCAGCATGCTACAACTCACCATATTCCCCAAGTTTTTTCCTCATGTTAGATCATTTGGGTACTGTCCTAGATGTTGCAGCAACACCACATGAGTTTTGCTTGGAAGAGATGGCTATACCAGGGAAAATCGGAAAGAAATTTCACATGTTCTGAAGGTAACATACTCCAGAAACCCTGGCATGCTGTGAAGATGGTGACCTGGAGTACCTCTAGGACCTTAGGTGATGAGCAGAGAAAACATGTTAGTTTTCACCTAGTTAAGGTCAAAGGCAAGTGGCTGGCTTGGCCCACAGCCCTGTGATCTTGCACCCAACACCTGAACACCATCTCTTCAGATGGCGTTCAGGTGTGCAGACAAAGGGAGAGGTTTTTAGCTGTCTCAGCATCCCAAAAGAGTGGGATGAAGTTTTTGGATTTTTTTTGTTGTTGTTTGTTTTTCAAAGTTGTTCCACTTCTTTCATTTTTTATCTCTTTTTATGTTCAGTGTCTCTGTGAGTACATCGCTAGCTCTTGGCTTGCAGTGGGCTGTAACTGTGCGTCTCTGCATTAAGGTGCTGTAATGGAGAGTTATTTGATTCAGTATCAAACTGTGCAATATAAAATTATTGAGTAGTCTTATTTTTGAAATAAGTCTTTGGTGTCTCTTACATTCTGATATTGGACCTCTTCCATTCATTTCTGCGTAGTCCTGCATTTGGAAGTAATTTGTGTCTTGGAACTGCAACCTGAAATTATTGGCCAGCATTGTCTATAACGTAATGAGTGCTAGACATTTATAAGCTTAGCGGGTTTGTCAGGAGAATATCAGCTTCCGCTCCTCACCCTATTACCAAAGGTGTTCTGGCTGACCCTACAGTTGCCCCAGAGTTTTAGTCATCTAGAAGTTTTGGCTTCAAAATCAATACGAGTTTCAGTTGTGCTTATATATCTTAAGCAATAATAGCAAAAGTGTTCTGCACATCCGTCTGATGTTGGAGGCAACGTTATCGAACAGCTGACAGAGCAGACAGGAGCTCAGCTGGCTTGGGCATGCTCTGCTGCAATGGGCTTTTGATGGGCAGCATGACATCTTGCTATAGCTGGGCTACGTCCACATTTTATTTATTTATTTTTTAAAGGCAAATAAATGTATGCAAAATGTGACAATTGTTTCACTTTTCCAGCTTGGTTTATTCAAACTAAACAACTGTGCTTCACTTTCCGGAGAAATCTCTGTTTTGAGCATTCACAGTTTGTAAAGGCACTTTGAACACGCAATAAAGCTGCTTGATGAGAAAAAGGGAATGGTATCAGAGAAGCAGATTGGAGTCTGATTCGTTATAATTCTCTAAACATATAATAGTCATTCACCTCCTAATCTGATAGCTATCGACTCGCTAGGGTTTTCCAGTAGCGTGGATGAACACTGCCAGTAAAGATTTAGCTCCCAAGCTGGGTTCTGTTTCTTCTCCTGGACAGATGATGGCATTGTAGCCCTGCTGTATTCTGCAAACCCAGTGAAGGTACTCCCAGAGCGAGATCTTGATTTGATTGTGCTATGCACGCTTTAGCAGCTTAAGATTTCGCCTTTTGCTTTTCACGTCTTCAGTGAAACAGATGAATGCTATAATAGCAGTAGTTTCTAAAAGGAAGACATGAAATTCCTACATTTATAATAAAAAAGTGTTACAAACCTCATTGTAATTCAGACTTGAACTGTTCACCCTGTGCACGTCCAGAAACTCATTCTCTAATACTAGATGCAATGATCTCTGGAGGGAAGTTTTCCATCTGTTTCCTTATGATGTTAAGCTGTTAGTGCTGTTCATTATTTATTACATCTACTGGTGTATGTTAAGCTATGATTTTCTTCTTGTCTGGTATTAAGAATTCAACTTGGTTAGTGTAAAAAAACCCTAGGATTTGCATATTACACATTGATATTTAGCGTATTTGGGGTGGGGGGAGATAGGGGACGGTAATTGCTCCCAAGCTGCTTTTGTGCTGGCAGATAATTTATATTTAATTCAGTGATACAGAGCTAAATTAACCACTTAAGATGGAGATAAATATAGACATGCTATATATAGGTGGAATCTGCCACCATACTCAGATTGAAGAGCATTATCTCTGCTTGATTTCAGTGGAGCTACTGCAGGGTAAGCTGCCTCTCAATACAACCAAGGTAGGAAGAATTGGGCCCATCATAAATACGTATGAGTACAGAGTTCACCTATATGAATGAAAGTGTGTATGTGGGAGAGAGGGCTTTTAAAATATAAGCATGCATTTACCAGTGTGCATATTAAGTGGAAGCACACATGCATATGGTTTACTCTGTATTTTCAGATATTCTATTCCTGGAATATACGGCGGACTTGGGTTATTATTTTTTTCTATATAGGATAAATGACTAATTCTCTCTTTGGAGTCAGGAGTGGTTCAGCCCTATTCTCTGTTCCTTTGCAGAAATTATTACCTTTTTCTGGAAATAGAATTCTTGTTGAGTTTATCCTATTTCATCACTGGTTGCATTAAATACCAGCACTTCAGGTGTCACAACATAGCTGGGAGGGATAGTGTTTGTGTTATTATTTGCAATTATTGTATCAGGAACAGCTCTTTATAATCAGCATCTTGCTCACAGAAATATCTTGGAAGATTTTACAGAAATAAGATCAGTATCTTATTACACTGTAATTAAAATATCAATTTTGGCTGGGAAACATTATCTAGATCAGCCACTGAGGTTACTGTTAACAATACCAATTCCTTTAGAATAAATATATGTGTTTCCAAACTGCATAATGGGAAGTTTTAGCATATCATTCTCACATGTAGTGTCTTTTGATGTGATGGAGAATTGTAGATGGACTGAAATGTTCGCTTTCCTGTCATGTAGCTGGTTCTTTATCATAATATAGATGTTATTAAGATAAAATCTGTCTCTCAGTATTGTAGTATTATAAAACTCAGAATTAGAAATGCTTTATCATTTCTGAAGAACAAAGGCTATGACTGCTTTAAGCAATATCAAAGTCAGACTACCTTTATCAGGGAGGAACATGAAGGGAACCACCAGTATTTGCCAAAGCATAAGTTAATTCTTGTTAGACTTAACACGGGATGTTTGCAATTACCAGGTAAAATAATCACTGAAAGATAAAACAAATACGCTTTCTTAGTGCTTTTTTTATCACTTTTATTAAGTGGTAGCAAAAATCACATAGCAGGGAACAAGATTGCTTGATTGTACATCTGCTCCTTTGACTTCCAAGTCAGATGCTTATTTGGAGTAAATCAATACCACTTTGACAAGCCAGTGGAGCTACGTTGACCTACACCTACTGAGGTATACGTGTAAGGTACTGGATTTATAAGTATAATGGTATTATTAAGATGCCTTGGGCAACAGAAAGAAATCTTGTTTTGCACCCATTGGAGATCATCTCTAGAAGACTGCACCCATTTGGAGGAAAAGTTTAGATGCAATTGTTGGTGGATTGTGATCTATCTTCTCACAGTGGCATCATTCAGGAGTTTTTAGAAAAGGACATGGGAAAGTGTGGTTAGTTCCCATATAGCAAGGCTCATGTGTATCTGCAAAGTCTATCTGTTATGCTGAGGATCCGGAGGTCATCTTTGGAAGATGTTCCTTACAGAGACAAGCTTTCCTCCCCCATCTGACATTGTTTGCTTTTCATATGGTTTTAAAGGGAAGTTGTGGTATTAAATGAATGGGAAGACGGTGAAATCAAGCAGTGAAAAGCCAGGAAGTGTCAGCACTAGGGTTTTGTACGCAGGCACTGAGTAACCATCAGTAACAATATGAGTAACTTCTCACGGCATATGAACAAGGCAGTGCAACCCTGATCTACTCCATTCAAGTCCTAGGCTTTCCTAGTTATTTTTCAAGATATGAGTTTGATGCCAAAACAGTTAGAGGCACTGTACATATTCAGAGGGAGGTAATTTTTATTACCAATTAAACAAACAAACAAACAAAAAACTGTCAAGTGCCCACAATTACCGGATGGATTATTTTATAAAATAAGGATTATATAAAATGTTTTTTAAACTGTGCTTTGACAGTGAAAGTACCTCTGTTGAGTCTCACCAAGTTTGTAAACCTTTCAGAACCTTTCATTTGGTGTCAGGAAATGATGTATAAATTGAGGAGGCTGCTTGCCTTCTGCAAACAGAAATTAACAACATAACCAGTGGCAATTCCTCCATGTTGCCTTGTATCGCACTGGATATGAAGCAATGGGGCCTAACGACAAATCAAATGATTTTGATATCAGGATGTTGGAAAGGATTAGTTAGGGTGGATTCTTAGTGATTAGTATGTTTTTTCACCTGTTTAAAGACAGCTTTTCAGTGTTTTGAGTTCACCTAAAACATTAGCTCCCATGATTGTGTACTCTTGTAAAATCCCATATTCCAGTCAAAGATGGAGAATGAGAAAAAAAAAAAAAATGGGAGGAAGGAAGGAGGGAAGGAGGGAAGGAAGGAAGGAAGGAAAAGAAATTCTAAAAGCATTTTGTTCAGCCTCCTGCAAAGGTGGAGCTACCTGCCACTACTGTTAAAGATCCAGCCATATCACCACATTTGTAGACACAGAGAATGTCCTGGCATCCTCGGCCTGAGGATCCTCAGTGAGCTGGAAAATCCTGATTGTATTAAAACAAAATAGTGTGAGAGAGGGGTGTGAGCTAGAAGAGAAAGACAGGAAAGAGTGTGACAGTGAAAGCATCAACCTGAGTTCTTCACCTACAAACAGGTCAGGGAGAATGAAGGAATTAAACAGAAGTTATCTAATACAAAAGATGTTTTAAACACTTGCTTTCCACTTCTTCAAAAACAAAACAAAACATATGGGAAGTCCCAGAAACAAAAAGCCTGAAAATGGGAACATCCAACCTATCCTTTCCTCCTGCTGCTTTTTAGGCACAGAGGGTGGCACAGCATGATCACTGCTCAGGCAGCAAGGTTGAATAGCTCTGTGCCACTTCTTGTGATGGTCTTGGTAAAGATATAATTAACCTCAATGAGAGGCTACCTCATACTCTCCCTGGAAAGTGCACTGTAAGGATTGCAGAGCTTAGAATTTGCCAGGTATACACTTGTGCATATATAAAAAGCTATATTTATCTCATCTTGTTAAATATGCTTTTAGCAGGAAGATTATGCCATCATGGTAGTTACACTCTGAAATGCAACTAACATGGCACTTACATTCTAAACCCTTATTTTCATTCACTTTTAACTTTCTGAGAAAAGTAGCTTTTGCATTGATTTATCATGCTCCACCTGGGACCAGACACCATCATTTTGCAGACAAAAGGGAAGTTTTATTAACATCCATCCAGTCATTTAGCCAATTCAGAGTTGTCTGACTGAGAAAAAGACATTTTCACTTTTAAATCAATCACATAAATTTTGGGGGCTGAGATAATTCATGACTAGCTTTGTTTCATAAAAAATACCATTTTCACATGGGTCAAGTGGGTTTTTTAGCTTCCCCCTTTCTGAAGAAGAAAGAGCAAATTTAGAAATAACAAAACAGTGAACTCATACACTTATGCATATGCCTGTATGGACCAATTTCAGAAAGAAATTTGGACAGGCAAGAAAATCTCAAACATGGGTCCCAGGTATGGAAGCAATCACAAACACGTGCCAATCTTTAATATGCTCACCAGAACTGTCCACACGCAGAAAGTCAGGCATAAGCTTAAGTCTGTGTTAAACTGGAGTCCTGGTAACTTAAAAGAAGGGAGATATTAATTATGAGGGTTGACAAATCTCCTTAGCTTTTTGACTGTTACCTGCACAGCAGTTGATAACATGTTCAAGCTAATGATATAAAGAAGTCAAATAATGATATTGCAGACTTACAGGTTTATCCTGGGATTAATAAATTATAGGAGTCCACAGCGAGTTGTGTTTGAAGGGATAGCAGCTGGATCCTTGAAAACAGATGGCCTTCCTTGTCTAAGTAGGCTTGATCTTGTCTAATCTTAAAAGCTAAGCAGGTTTGGGTCTGAAAGATCCACCAGAGAATATCTGATGCTCTAGGTTGTTGCTTTTCTATAGCAGCAATTGCTGCTCATAATGTGATGGGAAATTTAATGAGAATTTTGTAAAAATAAATAAATAAATGCAAAAATTATAACTCGATTTTATGTTTTTCACATTATTCCTGGCAGCATATTGCTAGAAATTTGCTGTGTTCTCAGGATGATAGGAATTTAATACAAGCTTCTTTTGTCTTAGTACCTGATGCTTTGTTAAAATGGCAAAGAAATCACCAGCCTGCTGCAGTGACCTGGAGCACAAGTTTTGAGAACGATTGCCCATGAATTGAGAAATTTTAAAATGACTTAAAAAAAAAAACACCTCAATGATGTTTACAATATTTGCTGTTTCATTAGCAGCATTTTTGGTTGCAGCTTTTTTTGTTTGTTTTGTTTATTGTTTTACATATACTTTTCTCACAGGTTTCCTTAAAAAAAGCTGAGCATTTACCAAGCTACAGCAGGACCTTTCAATCGAGATTGCTCAACACCAAACTAGTCTGGTTCACATCTAACTATTTGCACTTGTAACTGTGCTAGGTGTTGCCACAGGAGGCTACAAGGCTCTGTAGAGCTCATTTTGTGTCTGCCAAAGAGACAGGAGGAGATCAGGTCCCTCCTTCAGCTCCTGAATGCGTCTTGGGTTGGGAGCCTCTTGCCAGACAAAACCACTTGCAGGTGTCCTTAGGAATTTGGTTATTTGGCTTTTGAGGAGCAAATTTTCCACTTGTATATATATATATATATATATATATATTTTTTTTTTTTTTTTTTTTTTTTTTTTTTTTGGTAGGAAATTGGCAGCTACTGAGTCAATGGTGCTCAATATTCTAAATAATACTAACATAAAAATGGGATCAGTAAAGATTTAGCCTTTGGCTTTTGTGAGAGAAGCATGATGCCCTCAGACAACTGGTTTATAGGTGACCACTGTAGCTGGCTGCTGCTAGCTGCTGCCTACCCGCTCAGTGCCATCGCTCACATAACAAACACTGGTGTTGAAGAATGATCAGATTAATTAGTCTGTCAGCATGGAGGGATCTGGTTTATAGCCACTTGACTGTTTGTTATGGTGCTTTTTCTCTGAGCACTGTTAACCACATACAAATGCTTGGAAATTGCACTATTCATGAATCAAGTGAATATGGAGAGAATAATTGTCACTTCCCTAAAATGCAACAATCCCAAATGCTTATATAAGCATCTAGAATTAGAAAAATGCTGTTCTTTTCTGGTACTTTATTTTATATTGTACTGTATGATAGTCAGTGTGGTAAAAACCTATATCAATTACAGCATTTCATTACACAGTAGCACAAAACATAACATCGTATAGTAGTTTGCTTGCTCAAGAATAGGCAACTCTATCTCAGACAGTAATACCCCGTCAGAAATTCACAGTTAAATCATATCAAATGTCTCATTCTGTTGCAATCAAAAGAAGCATTTTTATAAAATCCAGTTGAGCAATAGTAATCAATTCTACATAAACCAGGTTTCAACAACAGAAAAATTTACTTCTACCCTAAAATCTCTTAAACGCTAATTTTATGCATGTCAAAGAATTTCTGATGACAATATGTTACCTTTATCTTATAATATTTTCATACTGAATTCCTAAAAATGACAGGATTGCATGGAAGGTTAATATGCATGTACTTACATAAATGTGTTTCTATATCCCCTAAATACATATGTACATACTGATGCACATGCACAACATACAGATACCTATTTGTGATCGCTTTCTCTTTGACTGCAGCGTTGTCCTTTGTAATCCATTTGCCCTACAGCATCAGTTGTTCAAATGTTTTCTAGAAATTGCATGTCTCTGTGCAGACTTTTGATAGCAGCTAGCAGTTGTTTGCAAGGCCTCAGACTTCGCTTGCATGTGTCTTATTTTTGTAAATATTTTTTTGTTGATGTAGTGGATGGAGGCTTATTAAAAATCCATGTTCTGAAAAGTCCCCAGATCCTGTCCTCAGAGGTGATGTGCTATAAATGAACAGAAGATCAGTTTGGGAATTTTAATTTGATGATTTGATAAGATAAAGGGGCAAGAAATAAACAGTTAAAAAATAAAAATAATTAAAAAAAAAAAGGAATTCTCCACCAAAGTATCTCTTAGAAGGCTTATACTTTCACAAGTATTAGACAAACTACCAGATAACTCAAGTGATTTATGACTTAATAGTGCTGAAAAGTCACCAGTGGAAAAGAAAAAAAATATTCCTCAAATGTAAAACCTTCAGTAATTTCCTTAATTTTCATTTTTATGGAAATAATAATATAGAGTAGGCAAAGTTATGGCTAGTTATTAAAGTGTCATCTGATTACATCACCAATTTATAGAAACATTTAAAAAAGAAACAACTTCAGATATGGTCTACATGTAAAATAAGATATGGCAACAGTCTTCACAGGAGCAAAAAAATCCTAGCTATGTGTTTTGCCTTGAAGGAAAGAGTCAGGTGCCCCTACCAACTCAGAGAACAGCTGTGACAGTAGCACTTTGCATTTCTACAGTGCCTTTCACCTCACAGTTAAAAAAAAAAAAAAAAAAAAAAGCTTAATGCAACTGTTTCAATGCCACATCTCATTGACTCTCTCTATGTTTGAAGAAAATTTTGCTCACTCCTTAGAATGTTTAAATTCCTTTGTTTTTGGGAACCAGCTTAAACTGGACCAGACTGTACGTTTAAAGGTGCTGAAGTCCCCTGACCAGGATGAGTCCCAGCTCACTGTGACAGCAGCATCAAGTTTCTCCTGAAGGAAAGCTGAGGAGGATGAAGGCGGGGGAGGAATGAATAGGCTGAGGAAGCAGGTAGGTTTATCAACCTTCAGCCCAGCCACCCAGATATTGTTACTGGCACTGTGTGGTACAGCATCAACAACTGCACTTGCTGCTTCCCCAGGGGCAGACCTTAAAATACCCGTTTGTGCATTGGTAGAGTAAGCAAATATTAAAATTGACACATTGTAAGACGTTTTTCTCAGCTGCACCAAATAAAAGTATAAAAAAAAAGACCTAAAAACAAAAACCTGAAGCTGTGTCAGATTGAATAAACTACTAGGATGAAAGGAGTGAAGTGATAAAGAGTTAGATACAAGCTACAGAAACAAACATGAAAACACTTTTTTTGGAAAGTGAATGTGGTGTTGGGTCAGTCACCCAGTTTGTTTGAACTATGCTTTTGACTGAATGTGTGATCTTGAAAAAACAGCTTCTATGATGGAAAAAAATGGTAGAGAAAGGGGAAGCTGTTGCACTTTCTAATGCAAAACAACTTCAAATGGCAAAGCTGATTATTAGACATTATTGGCATATTCACTTTATCACAGTTCAAGTTCTACAACATGATTTTTTTGTGTTTGGGAAACACTTGATGCAGAAGAGTATAGATAAGTGTTTTGAAAAACAGATGTAGACCTAAAGAAGACATCTATTCCAAAACATGGGCAGCATAGAAAAAGTGTGCCTCATTTTTGAATTATTAGCCTACAAAAGGGTCTTGTTACTGTTCACCTGTTTTTGAAGGGGACTCGTGTATATATATTTTTTTCAATCTGTCCTAGACATTACTATTCAAGACATTTTTAAATACTATATGTCAGTTTGAATAAAAATATGCATTCGCTTTTTCATTTAATTGTTTAGTGTTTCAACCAGAAGCTCGAAGACATTTCCTATATCCCTGAAATTTATTAAATGGTGGGAAAGTGGTAGGAAAGTGTAGCACAAAAAAAAGAGATAAGTTTTCATAGTCTCTCTTTTTGTGCTGTACCTCATAGATTAATTATCTGCCAACACTTCATTTTCATAAGAATTCACAACATCCAAAATTACACTTGCAGGAAAGCCAATGTAAAAGTTGATTTAAATGGGAGAGAGTTAGTTTAATATTTAGCTTTAACAAACAGACAAACAAACAAACAAAGACGCTACAGACTGCCAAATTCTGGTTATTCAAGAACATCATAACTTAAAACATTTTTTCTTTTTGTTCACAGAATTCTACTGTAGCTCTTTTAGATGTAAATTTAACCTGATGACTCCCTTCTCTGGCTAATTAACACTGGCTTCACCATCGTGCTTTAGGATTATAATTGGCTGAACTTGCACACTGACTTTAAGACTATACTGTTCTCTTAATTGTTTGACTTCATTAAGAAACTCAGCATTTAACATTGTTTTCCTTTGCTGAAAGAGATATGTAAATTCTGGGGACTTGTTCCAGCAAATCATTTCAATGGGTTCACAGCTTAAAATGTGTGAAAAGCCCCATGGATTTCTTCCATCTGGGCTATATTCATCAGTGTGATATTTTACTGTGTCACCTCGGGTACTGTGTGCAGCTTTGAGTGTCACAGTATAAGAAAGACATAAAACTGTTAGAGGGTGTCCAAAGGAGGGCTATGAAGATGGTGAAGGGTCAGGAGGGCAAGACATATGAGGAGCAGTGAGGCCCCTTGGTGTGCTCAGCCCCGAGCAGAGCAGGCTGAAGGGAGGCCTCATGGCGGCCTGCAGCTCCCTCACGAGGGGAGCGGAGGGGCAGGCGCTGAGCTCTGCTCTCTGGGGACAGCGACAGGACCCGAGGGAACGGCATGGAGCTGGGACAGGGGAGGGTCAGGCTGGGGGTTAGGGAAAGGGTCTGCACCCAGAGGGTGGTCGGGCACTGGACTACATCACTGGAAAAAGTGGACAAGTTTTCAGGCTCTCTCAAGATTCCCAAGAATCTTTTTCCAGTGACAGCAGATGTTCAGTGCAAAGAACCCTTTCCTGTCAGCCTTGCTGTTGCTTGATTTGGGATCATTTTGGTACCTTTGGGTCAATTCTGTGAATTTGGGCTAGTCAATGAGATCTGGTCCAGCAAGCTTCTGAAGTACTCTTTTAGTGCAACAAAGAAATACATTGAGCTCAGGTTAAGATGGGCCTACATTGCTATCGGAACTCTCAAGGCCCAGTTCTGCTCATATAGTTCAAACAAGCAATGATAATGAAGGAGATCTGACACATAATCCCTCTTCAAAGGTGCTAAGAGACCTTTATGTGATGTTGCTTTCACAGTGTTCCTTGGAGTTATTATTGGCTCCACCTACACCAATTCGCTCTCATGGAGCCTGACCCAGAAAAGAACTAGTCCATGTTTCATCTGACACTATCCTCAAAATTAAAAAAAAAAAAAAAAAAAAAGAGAGAGAAGAATAACTGAAGAGGTTATTTTCTAATGTATACCTTCATACCTTCAATTCTTCAATTGGAAAAGGCATTTTACTTTTTTCTAATAACTCCATCTGGTACTTTTCCAGATGTAAGTCTTAATTCTGCTCTTTAACAAAAACCATACTGCTTTAATATCCAGGCAAAAAATAAAATAAAATAAAAATTGCAAAGTGGAACAAACATTGAGAAATCTTTACTTGGTCTTTATACAAAGGTCCTTGTTAAAATGCCAGTAAAGCCATTTTTTAAGAATCCATCGAGAGACAGGGTCAAATTAAGGTATTTTGGCATCTGCAAAGTAGAACAGTACTATGAAAGCTCAGAAAAGGCTTTTAAGCTTGACAAGAAGCAAGATGTTGTGTAGGTGTGTTTGTGAAAGAGAGAAGCATGCGAGAAAGTGCCCAAGGAAGGCTTGCTTGCCTGGAACTAGAAGCAGATTTAAAACTGTGTGGGGCTGACAGACTGAGCAAGATCCAAAATGTGATCTTCATAAGCCTGGAAAAACACTTGCCATGCTTCCAAGTCAAATTGTCTTTTCATCTCTTGCTTCCTTCCTGTGACCACTTATAAGATTTAGTCTTTACATCCTCACTTCATTGCTAGGATGGAAACTTGCTTTATTATACTGAAAATTCTCATCACCAACTGTTGTGAGCTTCTTTTACCTGGCTGCATTGAGTGGTCACAATGTTGTTGCCTATCAGTACACTCAGATTCTGGCTGCTGTAGGACAAAAAAACCACACTCAATTTATGTAATTTAAACCAAATCAGGATTGAAGAAGTTTATTGATTTATTAACAATACCTAATTATCCAGCAATCAGTGAACAATACTTTCAGGATCAGTATTGGCAATACAACAGACAAACCACAACACTAGACTCTCCCACATATGACATAGCAGCTACATGATTTCAAGCACACAAGCAGTTCCTTTGAGAACAAATCTATTGCGACATCAAGACCACATGGAATCACTTTTTCAAGTGATTTGTTTCTAGCTCAACAGGTTAATTAATTTCTTGAAGTGTTACGGTTTTGCAATAACTCTGTCTGGTATGAAGGTATATGGAGATGCTTAGAACCCAAATGCAGAATTAAACACAGATATAGAAGCAAATCTTTTAGTGGTGTGATCAGCTCTCTTTGTGTGTGTCCTGACTCACAGTTCCTCTGAAATTGTTCAGTCCCTCCAAAATGCATGTGCTTAAATCAGGGTTTGATGGGCTGGAGCCCTCTGTGTCTCATAGAAAGCTGTGTAAGTCTGAGCTTCCCAGCTTCAGCAGAGACACATCTCAAGCTCCTGTGAAAATGCTGTCAGCCCTGAATCAGAGTGCAAAATGCAGTTATCAAAACTGGCTTGGGCAGCTCTCCAGCTGGGTGTAAGTAACTGGTCAGTCGCTCCACCTGAACATTGCCAGAAGCCTCTGTTACTGAAACCTGCCTCCTTCTTTTAACAAAATATGCCCATCTGGAGAAGATGTTGTACTTGGTAACCTTGGAGAGGCATTTAAATATGAAAGTCATTATGAGCAAGGGTTGCTGAGTCAGAGAAGGTGATATAGAAACATTTTTTATTATATATATATATCTTTACATATATATATATATATACATATATATATGTATATATATATATTTTTTTCCTGGAAGGAGTAACCTTTCCAAAATATTCACCTGTATAACTCCACATCCTAGCTACTTACTAGCAGCTTTTTTTTTTTTTTTTTTTGGACCACTCAGATTGGGTGGGTAAGCATGTAGTGTTGCTCTGGAAGTGAGTAACTTCTGCAGAGCAAAGGGCCAAGAGATGCAAGTGACACAAGGAAATCTCAAATGCATTTTCTTCCATCTTTTTCACAATACCACTGCATGGAATTGAGCAACACATCTTCATTTCTTTCTGTGTATTGGCATAATACCTCTTTACCCTTCCTTTTCACAGTCACTTCCTTCTAGTGATGATGAATGTAGTACAAACAGCACAAGCATAATAAATTGGTTCTTAATTTCCTTCTAGCTGATCTTGAATTTGGCTGGTGGCTATAAGTGAAGTAAATGTACTAGAACAGTACATGGTAGGGTTTGAAAATAAGGATCTGATTGTCATAGCCAAATAGTCATTATGAGTGTTAATCACCAAAACTGAATTCCAGCATATACTTAACTGCACACCTGTCTGACATCTGGAAAATTGAACTAATCCATTTTATGAAAGGAACTCCAACTTGGAAATCACATTTGCTCTTGGCAGTGTTATGCCTACTATTGTTACAAATAGCCCTGAAGATGATTAGAATGGAAAGGAAATGAAGGCAATCTCCTTTGTTTTTCAGGCTGTGTATTTTGTGAGTTTGACAGCATTTGGAGGGAGTTATTTACCTTGTTTTTTCCATGCCTAGCTCACACACTGCACTGAAAGGGCTCATGCATGGCTTGCCCCAGGCTCTGCAAGGCTGTCTTTACAGAAGCAGAAAGTGCAGAAGGTTTAGCATCAGGGCAGGGGAGAGGCAGCAACTGGGGAAGGAGTGAATCCAGTGAAGGTGAGTTCCTCCATCTCTTCCAACTGCCCTTGAGAGACCAGAGCAAAACAGAGGAG